TCTTTTGATCAGAATGGTGTTGTTGAGCAAAGCAGCAGACAAGGCATTCTTTGATGAGGGAATTAGCGCTCCATTCTTCCTCTATTATTCATAGCACAGTGGAATATGTAAGTACCTGAGGGTGTCAAAGGAGCGCAGGTTCTATTGCAAAGTGCTCGCCTTGTTTCTCTCAATAGCTGACTATGAGATGATAAACCGCTTAATACACTGTGCTAATTGGATGAGAGCAAAAAGAGATGGGAATTAAGGCGAGGCAAAAGGAGAAAGTGCAACCAGCCTTCAATTCACTCTTTCACCACTTTACCAGCACCAAAGGAGGCACAAGCTTTCTATAAGCAGACTAGAGGTTTTGTGCAGAGATAAAATGAACGTGTTAGTGGATTCAAGTAATACACTAATTATTGCACAGTATAAATACCACTACTGGTTTTATAACAGGGAGGTAAACTTCTTTTGAGAGGGTTATAGGATTGCTTGGCAGTGGTGTAGAACCTAATAAGGGCCCAGAGTAATAACCCCTTGGATTAACAAAATTGCTGCTTGTAGAAGTATGATTCAGGCTTTTACGAAGATTTCCGGAGAATGAATAAAAATGACTGAATGACATTTCTTAATGTATAACTGGTAATCGTTCCCTTTTCTTTAAAGAAAAAAAATGTATACTTCAAACTGGACTGTTAATAAAGTCCAGGGACAACACAACTTTTTCCTTTGAAAAATGCTTTTCCCCCTCCCCCTACCCCAGTCAGGTAACAGCTTTTCTTCTCCCCGCCCCCCAGCTAGGCTGCCACTGTCACTTAAATACATAAGCAATTGCTCCGTGGAACTCGGTGTTCCAAAATACCATTTTAGGCCCCATTTAAGACCCCTTCATTCAGACACACTCACTTTTGTGTATACACATACACACATGCTCACATACATATTTTTTCCTCTAAAAGCAAGTTGAACTAACTCATGTATAATTTCCTTCCCTCTACCATCAGCCACTTTTCCATTCTAGTAAGATATTTGCACTCAAAACGGTATGAAAAACAGAGGTACAAGTGCCTTGTCTCTTGGTATTACAGATCAAAACCAACAATAATAAGTGTTTGCCCCAGTGGGGGCGTGGTAATAGAAAAAAAAAATGGGAAACTGGCTGAGGCCTATACTGATGACTTTAACTGAAGACTGGGTTTCAGGTCCTGAAACCTTCCCTTTGGTGATCACTCTCCCTAATTCATCCACTTTCTATCTTCCCCACACAAACCTGAGCTGTCCTCGCTAACTGTCCACAGTCCAGCTCATGGGCACCTGGTGACTGAAGACTTCTTAGGGACATCTTCTAAAATTACTCTGCCTATTGCTCCCTTGCCTTTCCTTTCTGGGCCCATTCAGGATCTGACTAGCCTGTCTGAAAATGTAACAAATTAACTTGCCCTTTCCCTTCATCCTTCCCACAGAGGCCGAACTGTGCTCCCTCACCCCTCACCCCAAGATGCTGTGGGGGTGGCCCTGGGAAAGCAGGTGGTGGGGCATTCGGGCCTGGGGGTGATAGGGAACAGCCATGCCCCCATCACAGGGGCTCTCCTGAACTCCCCTGGGCTCTGCATGGCCTCCTCCTGGGTGGAACAGGTTTGCTTAAGGTTGGGGAGGGGGGTCAGCCGCTCCCAGCATTGTGACTGCGTTCCCAGATATTGGGGCCAAATTGGGTTGCCATTCATTAATAATGCTCACAATAAGATTAAATCATTCTGGAAAATCTCATAAAATCCCCCTAAGTACGCTCCAGTGGCTCTTTCCAATCCCCATCATTCAGCACTTGGGGAGGTTTGGAAGGAGAAGAAAATTGGTTTCTTTGCTTTTAATGCTGCTTTGAAAAGATACTCAGAGTTTGTCATGCGTGACATGTCACATGTTTAATGTGGACTTGCTGGAAGTCAGGGGGTCTTTAGCGTGTGATATTTATGGGGAATATTAAGTGCAGAATGAGGTCCCTCCAGCTGGGGAAAGTTGAAAGAATAGGAGGCCCAGGACCGGGCTTGTTTGCGGCATCAGAATGACATAGGATTAAGAGTTTGTAAAACAAGGAGCGGGGTTCTCATTGGCCAGTAATAAATGTAATCCTTGGAGGTAATTTCACGCAATTTGCTTCTGCTCCATGGAAGGGTCAAATGAGAAAAAATGACTTAAAAAAGAGTTCATTAACAGGAAGAATGGTACTGTTTCTCGTATACCATCCAACTGGCAGCCTGGAGGGGGCAGGAAAAAAAGCCCTACCTAAACAAAAGCCAAAATCAACGGAAAATTGATATTGACCACCAACCACCCCCCCCAAAAAAAAGCCCTTTCCCTCAGGCCCCTCCTGCGCTCCGCAGTCCCCACCCCACCTCAAACTCCAGAGTAGCCCTGTCCACCCCAGGAACTCGACCTTCACCCCAGGAGACTCCGTGGAGTCTGGTGAAGGCTTGAGACACTCAGATCTCGGGGAATGTCCTAGAAAGTTCCTGCTGAGCCTGCAAACCCCGAGAAAGGAGTGTGCGGCGGGAAGGGCTGAGCAGAGGTAGTTGGCGCCTACGCCCCGTGCCCGGGGCCGGGCCCTGCTTGCGAGCTCCGCCCTCGCGAGCCAGGGCCGGGCCAGGTGGCCCGGCCGGGTGACTCGACGGCCGAGATTCGAGGAGCCCCCTCAGCCTTGGGTCCCGCGGACGCGCTCCCCAAGGTGTCCGGCGGGCGGGGGAATTGCGGCTTGCCGGCCGGGCGCGCCAGCGGAGGACGCCCGCGGCCGAGGGCGGCAGCTGCCGAGCCTTCGCCCACCCCCGAGTCGCCGCTGACCTCTGCCCGCCCCCGCACCTGCCCCTCGGCCGCGCACGCCTGCGCCCAGAGCGGCGAGGGGACCCGCCCTCCTTCTCTGGGGCGCGGCCCGGGAGCGCGCGTGGAACCCGGCGGGCCCGGCCCGGAGACGCGTCGGCGCCCCCCGCCGGGACCGACTGGCCCGCGGCCTGGCGGGGCGGCGGCACCGGCTCCGAGAGCCACGCTAGTCACGCCGCGGCCGCCCCCCTCCCGTGCCTGCCCCTCTCCCCAAAGGTCCAGCGCACTAATTACTACAAATTGAAACTAATTAAGCTTCTCTTCCCTTTCCCATCACCCTGGGAGCTTTGGCGAGACCCGGCCCCCGCGGGCGGGCTTACACCGAACGGTCACCCGGGGGGCGCAGGCAGGGCCCGGGGGGAGGGAGAAGCTACGGTCGCTGCCGGCGCAGGGAGGGGTGCGCCCAGGGGGTTGCAGATTGCAAATCTGCTTGGGTCTCCTCGCGAAACCTGAGTTGTTTAGATTTTTTTTTTTTACAAGTATATACATTTCCCAATGCCTGGATAAGTGATGTAATGACATTTGTCGAGTTAAGATCTGCCACTTGGATACCCCTCGCTGCCTTTCCATCACTGTTTCGGCGTTCTCTCTCCCACTCTCTCCCTCCCTCTCTTTCCCCCACACACACCCTCCTACCCCCCCCCCCACACACACACTCCCTCCTCCCTGCTCCCCCTACCCCCGCCACAGACCCTCCTCCCCGCGCGTGTACCATGTAGCCCGCCCCCTCGGAAGCCAGCGCCTGGGCTCCTCTCTCTCGCCATTACCTGTCATCTCGGACTGCGCACTTCCTTGTACGTGGCACTTTCCACGAACAGTTTCCTTCGCCTTCCCAGCTAAGACTCCCAGCTAAGACTCCCCGCTCGCTTCAAATTTCTGTCTTCACCGTCAACGCCTACAGTAGACTCACCCACCCTCCCTCAAGCCCACCCCACCTCCGAGGCCCAGGCCCCCCAGCTCCCACTACAACGCGACCCAGGAGAGCCGAGATGCACGTGGAAAGCTCCGTGGCGGCGGCGATCTTAACCCTTCTTAGGAAATCCTACGGATCCTTTGAGGATCACATTCAAACCGGAGCCATCTGCCAGAAAAACGGGAGTGCAGATAAACCCTGGGGGAGTCGGGGCGCAGGAGCCCACCCGCGGTCTTCTGGGGGGAGGGCCCTTCTACTGTCCCCTCAAGCGCCTGTAGAGAGTATTCACACTTCCTTTTGTTAAACATATATTTTGTTTTTATTTTGAGCGTGACACTTCTCCACTAGATAGCAAGGAAAAGTGATAACAATTACACATTACACAAAAGTACTGTACCATTGCCTTTATCTTGAAGGTTTCGGAAGCCTCTACAGTTAATAAGTTAAATAAAGGGCTTGAGTACATAAATATTTGTCTAGGAACCCTACCGTATCTACAACACAGTAAGAATCTACAGGAGGACAAACTTTTACCATACCACGCTGAGTGCAATTGCGTTATAACATTTCAAATATACAAAGCTCTGTTCTTTTTCTTTTTTTTAATAACAATGGTATGTACAGAATCAATAATCACAGTTTGGTGACTTCAACAGTCCATATTCTAGCAGAGTATTTCCCTTTGGTTTGATATAAAAACCTTGGTTGATGTATGATAAAGAAGAGAACAAGAACAAGACGCCCCTTTCCGTTAAGTGCACTGTTAGCTATCTTACAGATTCGCATTCGCTTCCCCGCCGCCGAAGGCTGGGGCCACGCTGGGAAGATCAACTTAGAGCGCCAAAATGCTATCAGGAAAGAAAAAAAAAAGCTAAGTGGGGTGTCAGGAGGCAGAGAGGTTGGGGTTTTAAAATTGTTAACTTCAATACCAGGTGACTTAGGGAGCAAACCTCCCCGATATTTTCAATAAAAGAACGGGAGAGAGTGGACGTTTGAGTTGGAGCGAAGTGGGCAGGGGCAGGGGCAGGGGCGGGTGGACAGCCAGCCGAGGAGGTGCCACGTCCGGGTAGCGCCGCCGAGGGCTGCCTCGCCCGCGTCCAGGCTGCTGTGAAGGCGGCTGCGCTCTCTCACTGCCGTCTCGGGAGTGTGCTGGTCCTCTGTTTCCATTTGGTCTTGAGTGGTGCTGAGTGAGGTGACCTTTCGGTCGCGCCCGGGGCGCGAGGGTGGAGGGCAGCCTTTAGCACACCTCCTTGCCCGTGCTGGTGCCCGGCAGGATGTTGAGCTGCGTCAGCTGCGCGGCGTGCTCCTTGGCCTTGAGCCTCAGCGCCGCTATGCTCGAGGCGCGTCTGTCTGCGGCCGCCGTGGCCGGGTCGGCCAGCGCGCCCGACGCCACTGCGCCCTCCACGGCCGGCGTGGGCTGTCTCAGGAGCGCGGCCGCGGTCGACGCGCTGGTCAGGGGGGCCATGGTGGAAAAGAGCCTGCAGGGAGAGCAAAAGAGCGCGGTGACGCCCCGAGAGCTGCGCGCAGCGCCTCGGGCAGCCTTGCCCGCCGCCTCTCCCCGGCGGAGCAGAGGGCGCCGCCGCTGGGGCGCAGAGTCGCGGGGCCGGGGCCGGCCCGGAGCTGGGGAGTAGCTGGAGGCGCGGGCGGGAGGCTGGGGCGCTCTAAGGGTTTACCAGGGCAGGAAGCGAACAGAGGGGAAAAGAGACTGAGGGGCCAGATATTCCTGGAGGGACCAGAGCCGTGGCGGAAGCAAGCCCCGAGTCCCCAAACCCCACGGCCCCACTGCGCGGATTCTGGGCTTTCACTTAAGAAGGGAGTGTACTTTAGACTAGGAGCTCCAACTGCCTATAATACTATTTGCCGAGAGAGAGAAGAAGAGAGACACAGAGAAAGGAAAGAAAGGGAGGAGAAGAAAAAGAGAAAGAAAGGACAAAGTGGGATTAAAACTGAGAAAGACCTGTGCTGCACTTTGTAGTCCTTCTATAGTGCGCCTTCTCGGCCCGGGGCTCCTTTCACCCTGGAAAAGCTGGTCTTGTTCGCCAGCCTTCCCGCCGCCGCGGCCGCCCTCCTGCGCCGGGCAGAGCTGTCAGAGCCCAACCGACGACCGCGAGGTGGGGATGGGGGCTCCCGCCTGTTGATTTCCGCTCGCCAGGCAGCTCTGACCCGCTAGGAGCGCATTGCCTGCGCCGCATGCACTCACCAGTACCGAAGAGCAACCCCCCGCGTGCGGCGCACGGCGAAACCCAAGTCTGGGACTCCAGTCCGCGAAACCGCCTCCAGAAGGCGCCAGCATTAACCCGCACGGCGCTTCCACCCTCTGCACTGCACCGCGCCAGACTGCGGCAGAGGCCGAGCCGCCCCTGATCCTCAATGCCGCCACCACCACCACCCCCGCCGCTAGCTCCCAGGGCTTTGGCTCCGGCCCCCCGGAAGGCCAACTCAGGGTTTCCACGAGTAGAAATAAGCCCACCTGGGCTCGAGGAGCGCCCCTCGCTTCTCCCAAGCCCACCTTCCACCTCTTGTGCCACCCCCACCGCGCCCTTCTTTCCAGCCTCTCCAAATGTCGCAGCTGGTACTCCAGCCATGGTTTGGCAACTTTTACCAGTCACTTGTTGTGAGAAGAGGGAAAGGAGAGGGTGGTGGGCGAGGGACAGAGGACTTAAACATTTTTTTTCCAAAAGGAAATAATAAAGTGTGGCCTGGAGGGGGCGTAACATGCCCTGGTTCCACTAGGTAAACTGAGTCACTAACTACACTTCAGTGCACTATCTGTTTACTTCATTGGTTGTTACAAGAAAGTAATTTTACTGAGTCTTTTTTGAAAATTTTCTCCAAGATGATTTTTTTGTTAAGTGGCTGCGCAGTTGGATGAGTCTATTATTTCTTTGTTCTCCCAAAGAGAGATCATTGAAACTGCATTCAGTTTTATTTTCACTGCACTTTCCAACTTAATACATCTCTCCTTTGTTTCTTTGTCTGTATGATTATACAGACTTTTAATTTCATCATTCGATGTTCATTTAAAGAAAGGGATTTATAATATATGATGAACCGTTTCTTTGAGTTCGTTGTCTTGTGCTGCTCTGGGGGTCCGGGGTTGCATATATGAGGGTATAGTTGGCAGCGGATCACTTGAATGACAAGGAAGGTAGAGTCTGGAGAAGAAGAAAGATTTCTTTGGACCCAGAGGGCCCTTGGTCCCAGGGCTGTATTCCTCTGGCTGCCAGGCTTTAGAGAATGAGGAAGGATTTTTACAAAAGTTTAAAAGTCATCCCGGCTCTGCAGCCTACACCTGTACCCTTTTACACACACACCACCTTTGGTCTGGGCTGTTGCTGCCTTCAAATGGTACTTTAAAGCTTTCATTGAACACTTCCAATTTCTGTGGTTGCTGTTGTTGCCACTGCCCTTCCCTCTGCCGTTCAGCCCCAAGTCATTCCCTTCAAGATCCGCACTGTTTAAAGCAATATTATAGATTATTTTCTTTGGCTAAATCTCAAGTTAAGCCAAAGAGGAAAGACGAGTGTAGTCCCTATCTCTGGCCTCCTCCCAGGGCCCCAGCCTCTGTGCGTGTATGCGAGAGACAGACTCCCCGAAGCCGCGTGTTACCTGCCGAACGCAGGGCTGATGAAGGCCGGGTGCCGGAACACTGCGGCTCCGAGGAAAGTGCTCAGGCCCAGCGGCGCCCCGCTGGGCGGCAGGCTGGCCGAGCCCGGAGGCGGAGGTAGGCTCGGGAAGGCGGCGGCGGCGGCTGCAGCAGCGGCCGTCCAGGCCGAGTCGAGCGCGGGATGGTGCGGAGGGAAGGGGCTGGCGTCCAGGTAGGGGCTGAGCGGGTGGGTGGCCGAGAGCGGCCCGGGGAAGGGCAGACCCGGGGGGTGGGTCTGTGCGCCCGCCTTCTCCCGCTTGCGCCACTTCGCCCGACGGTTCTGGAACCAGACCTGCAAAGCCGAGAGAGGCAGGGGTCGGCGCCGCTCCGGCCGGGTAGGCGCTCCCGGCGGTCCCCGCCTTTTTCCCCCCCGCGCCGCGGGCCCTCCCTCCTTCCCACTTTCCCACTGCAGCCCTCGCCCACCTCGCCCCTCTGTGGCCTCAGGTTGTTCAAGGACACGTCTGGGACCAAAGAGGCAAAGAAAGAGGGCCTAACTTAAAGTCATCCGGAACTACCAGGCAAGTGAACCCTTTCCAGTGGACATTTTAACTAGCCTGGTTCCTTTCCAAATTTAACAAATGGTTTGTTGTATTTAGAAGTGAGAAAACCAAGGTTTACATGGCTGCGCTGCCATTTGCTTGCTGTGTGTCTTTAAGCAGGTCACTTAAACCTCTCTGAACCTCAGTTTTCTAATCTGTAAAATGGGGATAATAAAACTTTATTCATAAGGCTGTGATGAGGAATGAGTCAAATAAGGCATGTGGAAGCTGGCATTCATCGATGACTCTTGGGAACAGACAGCCATCAAGAGAAGAATGCACAGCAGCTTTCTGGGGCAAATCAGCTCTTTTCACCTATTTCGGGTTTTCCCAAGAGGTGACAAAATCTTTGCTCTCTGTCGAAAAGGGAATCAGGGAGGTGGTTCATTTAATCTTTCCAGAAATATTTACTGAACACCTATGAGCACTACCCTATGTTTGGGGGCTTGAGGGGAGCTGGGACTGAGGGAAGAAATACCCACGATAAAGCGAACAGGCATACAGTTTAGGAAGCAGTTGTAATGAAGTGTGGGGTACACAGCCTGCTATCTGCAGGGCCTCCATGCAGGGCCAGGTTCTACCAAGGAAGGCAGTGACTGCATGGATCAGGTCTACAGTGATACTTGGACACAGAAACCAGAGTGGGGGATACCTGGAGACTGGGCACATCTTCATAGCTAACCGGTCCTTTATTTCTTCTGGGGATGTGGTTTAGGTAGGTTATTTAAGTAAGATAGTTGTAGGTTGGGGGGAGGTTTTCCGCACAAGGTATCTTCCTAATTGTTAATAGAAAGCAGTTTTAGTAGAGACCTTTACCTGAAATGTGGCAGCTACCATGGTCTAAAAATAACTTTTAGGAGCATGAAATTATTTTATGTGACCTGCTCATCACACCCACAGCTGAGAAGATACGCTCCTTTTCCCTTGAAGGCATTAGTATTTTTAGGGCTGAGTTTATGCCTGCGCACAAGTCTAAAAATTAAGAATGAACTCTGGGGCTATACAGAGTTATATTAAAATATAATGTAAATGATCCCAGAGGTATATGTTTTTTAAAATTTTAAGACATCTATATGCCTTTCAGATATACATACTGGGGCTGTCGTTACTAGCACTGGTATCTAGGTTTGGTTTGACTTCTAGATAGCCACCTAAAACAAGAAAAATTGAGAATCCAAGTTGGTTGATTACTTAAAATTCTGCCAAAAGGGGGCCCATCCATCACATTTCACAGCCCTCAAATAACCTATTTGAGAATTGCAGAAACATTCCAGTGTGGAAATTCAGAGACTTGAAAAAATTAAGACTAGATGGGACCAGGCTGGGTGGGCAGCTTTTGTGTATCCAAATCTGTCTAGACAAGAATACCTGCCACTCCTCGACGGCAGTGAAAGGAGTCAAGGGAGGGGGGACGGTGGAGGCAGAATGCCCTCAAAGAACATGGAAACCTTCTAGAGACTGATCGGCTCTCGGCTCAACTGCAATTATCAAGATGTCCCCCTGCAATTCCTCATTATTGAATTAATACCTCTGAGGCCCCCCAAAGGTAAACGAAAGGACTCTAATAATTCATATTCACTTAATTACATCTTCTCCAGTGAATAGGGAGAGAGGAGAAGGGGAGGGGGCGCTCTCTTTCTTTTTAAAAGTTATTTAACTTTCCCACGACTCGTTCCCCTGAGCAGAAAATGCAGAGTTGCTGTCACATCTCTGTTTGACAATGGAGAAATGTGTCAACAGAAAGGAGGGGACAGGCCTCATCATTAGCCCTCTAATGCAAGAAGCTGTTGTGTATTAAATGAGCCATATGGAATTTATTGTGCTTTATCAGCGCTTGATTTTGACTGTAAAGTGATTCACTCAGCTCCTGACCCAGGGACATCTGTTTTCTGTTGGCCATCGGGACTGCCCAGTGTTGATCGTCTCTTTGGTTATGGGGCCTGGGTTCGGAAATGCACTCTGGTATGGGGCTGCAAACACCTTTAATAGCATTGCACTCACTCCCTATTAGATCAATGTGGGCTCATTGCTATAAAAAATGGGAAATCAAATAGCATTAGCCAGCTCCTGTGCGGGCGGAGGGGAAATCAAACAGCATTTTGCCTTCAAATGGCCCTGTTTGTTCTAGCACTAAGTGGGCTTTTATGAAGCCCGATTGGAGACTTAATCGCAGCCAAATACCTGCTTGGAGCTGAGCGGATTTGTCTAACAACCACATCCATGCTCCATCCCATTATTTCAACCAGGAAAAGTCAGTTCGCAGATTGTTTCCGACAGGGGCTATGGACCAGGGGGCTTCTGAACTGCAGTCTTGGGGACCCTGAAACCCCTCTTCTGATCCTGGACTCCTTCCACAAGGCTCCCAAACCTAGAAACCTTCCCCTTCCATCTCTCAGATCTTTATATTTTAATATGATTTTGTGCAGGAGGGTTTAGGTTTATCTTTCTGATTCTGCTTCTCTTCATTTTATGAAGGGGGTCTCTAAGAACCCCCTAATCCATCAACCCATCTCTCTTCCACTCGTCCCCCAGCCCACTGCCCCTCCTTTCCTCCCTCTCCGCAGTGCGGCTCACCTGGACCCGGGCCTCAGTCAAGTCCAGCCTCATGGCCAGTTCCTCCCTATAAGAAAGCAACACACAGGCAGGAGGTCACTGCAGGCTCCAGCAACGCCCTGTCAGCCACCTTTCCTTCGCTGGCATCCTCTTCCGTTAGGGTCTAACAGACACCTGGGCATCACCACCCCTTCAACACTGGAGTGTCTTCTATTTGACTGAAAACGTGAAAACACAATATACTCCCAGATATAGGATGTTGTCTATACTGTTGCATCATAGTATATTCAAGAGTGACAGTGGCGACTTCTTGACTGTACAAGTCTCAGCTTCTCTCTCACTCTTAAGCCAGAGTTAGATAAGACACACACACACACACACACACACACACACACACACACAGTGCTTATAGCCTCTTTTGTCCTAAGAGTAAATGGGAGAACTCGCTACTCAACTAAAAACATTGCTTTCGCCCTCCTTGTTGCTTTCTGCCTTTTTTAGAAAACGTTCTCTCCCCTCTCCTTCCTCTCTCTCCAGCTCTCTGCCTTTCCTTCCATCTCTCTCTCTCTCCCCCGCCTCCCTCCCTCTCTCACCCCCTTAGGTCATACTCCCCATTACCCTCTGGAGATATGTTAAGCTTGTTAAGAGTTCAGTGGGGTAATTTTTCGATTAAACAAAATTCTGCACACCTCCTGACTCCAGTGCCCACTACAAACCCTGCCCATCTCAGGGGAAGTCAATTTAACTGAAACCCTACCCCGTCATTGCAGTTATTACTGCAACAATTAAGGCAAATAGGAAACCATTAAGATGCTGTAAAACGGCTTACAACCTGTTTACCGAAAATATGAGCGCGACGAGAGTAATTGGCTCTCCAATCACTAATATGAAAGAGCGGGGGCTGCCCCAGCCTGGGACCTGGCCTGGCCCACACCTGGAACTTCAGGACTGGGAGAAAACTGGTTCACAGGAGAGCTTCCCGCTGCTTCCTGCTACAGTCAGCATCAGCAGATCTAAAACCCCAAAACCACACTCCTGCCTGGGTCCCGGCAGGAGCCAAGGGGCTCTAACTAGCCCCATGGGTGGGAGAGAGGTGGGCATGGGGTGGTGATGAGCAGCCACCCCTCTTCGTGTACTCTGGTTCCCCTGGAGAAGCTAAAAGTGCAGACCTGCGTGCCAAGCGACATCACATCATTTTCTTCTTTTGAATTATATGTGTGTGATAAATGCAAAAAGCGGGTTGGCTGCTTAGTTAGCTATTTGATAGAGACAATTACTTTAGAATTTATTTTCTTTTTTAAAGATAATAAAGGGACTGGATGACACAGGGGAGGGCCAAGTTTAGCTCAGGGGATGATCAAGTTTAGTGCTTTGCCTCGAATCAGATCTACTCTCTTCGTTTCTGGTTAGGAGACAGTTTGGCAATTAATTGCTAGACCAACTACCCTTGAGTGTTGGCTCAGGCCTCCAGAGTACTAAGCAATTTCTCCTCAGGTTCAAATGGGGCAGGCAGCTTTCCGGGGCTACTAAAATGCACATTGAAAAGTCGTACACGGCTCGTGCGAAGGTGGGGTTGCTCCAGCTTGACAAGCCCAAGTCCGGGCTGACTCCCATCCCTTTTTCCCTCCCCGCTGGGGAAAGTTGGCCCTTACCTGGCTCCTCGCCTGAGCCAGACCTTAGCTTTGGGGTGGGAGAGGAAGGCCCCCTGCCGGGCCGGCATCCCAGGTATGAATCAGCCGGCCCTCAGGGGCCCAGTCGTCTCACAGGTACATCTTTCCCCCCAAACTCGGGTGAGTGGGAATGAAGCGGATCCAGGAGGAACACCCGGGTTTAGACACCGGTCAGAAGGGGTAAATTCCCCCCAGCTGTTCTGTCTACTGCCTGCCAGGCTGCCAGCAGTCAAAGCCTGCCCCTGTAAACCCGCGTACAGTAAACCAACATTGGGTTTAATGTACGTGGAGGGCGAGAGGACAGCGATGAAAAGGGGAGATTCTGGTCGGTGCCTCCGCAGACCAAACACTGCCCAGTTCTGACTTCCTTCGGTTATTCCAGGAGTCCTCAAACGACAGAACTTGGATCTTTTTAACGGCCTTCTCTGCAGGCGCGGGCATCTTCACTGAGAACTGCGTAACTGGTAACTGATACCCACCAGGCTCCCGGGGCATCAGGCGGGGAGGGCAAGCGCACCACACAGCGGCCAAAAATAGCCCTTGCTTAGCCCTGGCGGCGAGGGCCGGCAGCGCTGCTTGCGCCTCGCCTGGGACCTGGCGTGGACTCCGGATTGCAGCGCCAGGGGCCCTGAGCGTGAGCGCTCGGGCGCGCACGTCTCCAAGGTGGCGCGTTCGGGCGCCCTTTGGAGAGGCCGTTTCTTTTTCTCTCTCTAGCTAAAACTTGTAATTAAAAAAATTAAACTGGAGAGACCTCCGGAAGGGGGAAAAAAAAAAACAAAACCAAAAACAAAACACATCCCAGTCTAAACTTAGGAGCCCAGAGTAGAGAGGCGGGGAGGGTGTTTTTGGTCAACAGGGGTTTGGCCATTGGGAGGGCGCGCCTGGGACGAGTCCAGGGGCTAAGTCCCTGCCCCAGCCCCAGCACCCCGCCCGCCCACCTTCCCTCTCCGGACCCACTCGCGCCCTCCAGCCGCTGCTGCCACGCTCCCCCCTCGCGTGTACCTGGTGAAGACGTCTGGGTAGTGCGTCTTCTGGAAGGCCCGCTCCAGTTCCTCCAGCTGGTAGCTGGTGAACGTGGTGCGGTAGCGCCGCTGTTTGCGCTTCAGCAGCCCCTCCTCCGAGTCGCTGCCGGCAGACAGGCACACGCTGTCCTCGCCGTCCTTTCCCTCGGCGTCCTCCGGGTGCAGCAGCAGCTCCTCCTTGGGGGACAGCTCCCCGCCCTCGGAGGCCGCGGCGGCGGCGGCGGCGGCGGCGGCGGTCGCCGCTCCAGCGGCGGGCACGGAGCAGCGCCGCGGCTCCTTGAGCAGCGCGCGGGCGTCGTCTTCCAGCAGCTCCTCCTCGTCGTCCTCCAGCAGCTCCTCGTCCTCGTCCTCGTCCTCTTCGTCCTCCAGCAGTTCCTCCTCCTCGTCCTCGGCGCCCGCGCCGCTACTCGCCGCCGGGGCGCCCCCTGGGCCGCCGGCCCCGCCAAGGCGCTCGTCCGGGTGCCCGGCGCCCCCCGGGCCGCCCAGCTCGTCCAGCGCGGGCGGTGGCGGCACGAAGGGCGCCCCGTTCTCGCGGTACGACTTGCTGCGGCTGATGCTCACCTGCGGCGCCTGGCTGATCTTGAGAGTGTCCCAGGCCGCGGCGGCGGCGGCGGCGGCCGCCACGGCGGCCCCTGAGCCATCTGGCCGCTCCCCGGGCCGCGCGGTCGGCGGCGGCGGCGGCGGCGGCGGGGCCTCCCCCCGCGGACCCGCCGTGGCCGTGGCGGCCGCCGCCGCCGCCGCCGCCGCTGCCGCCGCCGCCGCCGCGGCGCCCTGGAGGAGGCGGCCCCCGCCCGGGCCGTACAGGCGCCGCAGCTTGGGCGGCAGGTGCAGCTCGGCCTCGAACGGGGCGCTGCTGCCCTTGGGGGAGCCTGCGGGCAAGGGAAAGCGGTCAGCGCGCCGGCCGGCCGGCCGGCCCGGCCAGAGTCGCCGCTCGGGCCGGCCCTCCGCCGCTCCCTCCGCGCCCAGGCCCCGATGCGCGCGGCGCCCCCCGCGCCACTAGACTCCGAGCCCTCCCCTCCTTCCCCAGTTTTCTTGCTTTTTCTTTTTCTTTACATCTCTCTCTTTCCCTTGCCCTTGCTTCCTTCTTTTTCCCCTTTCTCCTCCTCTATGGGTCCTTTCCTTTCCCTCTCTCATTCTTCACTTTATTTCCTTCCTTCCTTTATTTCTTTCTCTCCTCGCCCTTCCTTTCATTTTTAAATCACTTTTTCTTTCTCTCTCTCCCCGTCTCATCATTCTTTCCGCATCTTTCTCTTCTCCCTTCCCTTTCCTTCTCTATTTGTGCACTCCTCTCCCCTTCTTCCTTCCCTCCTTTATTGTTTTCTTTTTCTTTCCTCTTGTCCTCCCTTTCACCTTTTCCCTTCCCATTTCGGGGCAAGAGGGAATCTGCAAACATTCAACAACTTTTTAAAAAATCACCACCACTCTGAAAACTTTGCGCAGGACCTCTGCCCTCAGCTCTGCCACGCGTTCCCGGCTGCGGGTTGGCGAGAGGGACCACTGCCTGGCGGGCCCCGGGGAGGGAGGGGGCGGCCCAGTGGCCCTGAGTGAGGACCTGGCCCCAACGGGCCCCAGCAGGAGGGGCAGGGGCTCCTGGCCCGGAAAAATCGTCCTGGAGAAAATGGGTTCGGAAAGGCCTGGCTGGGGACGTAAGGGGGTGCAATAGGCACAGAGCGCTCCTTCCCCTCGAGGAAGCGCCTGGCACAGGTGCCACTGCAGGCTAAAAAAAGAAAAGGAAAAAGTCAGTTTTATTTTAAACGCCCCCTTCCCCGCTAACCGCTCCTGTCTTCCAAGTGACGTTGCGGCTGGACCGCTGGTTTACAGATTTTAAAAGGCGAAACTTGGGTGTAACGGTTTTGGGGCAAAACGACAGTTGTTCTGGAATTTTTAATTTTAGGGGGGAAAAGAGCCTTTAAACATCTCAACTCTTAAAAAAAAAAACAGCAGAGGAAAAAATAGCACCCAGAAGCCGCACATTTCATACAATTCAGATACGAGAAGGAACATTTGGGGAATCCCAGGGAGATGTTTTCTGCAAAGCTTGGGTTTAAAAGATCACAAGTAATCTACAGTTTTAAAAAGAAGAAAAAAGCAGAACACCTCGTATAAAGAAATCTTCCCAAGAGGAAAGGCCAAGGCGCACTCCGCCTGGAGTCCCCATTCACAGCTTTTGGGGTTCTTCTCTTCACCAAGTTCTTACAAGAGTCCACCCGGCTCCTGCTGTTCTTGGCCCGTCGCCCCTCTTCAGAGCACCCGCAAGGCCACCAAAGGGGGTATTTAAACGACCTAAGAACCAATACCGAGAATCTAAGGGCCCTCGAAGCAAAGCTTGGTCTCTGCTTTTTCTGGAAGCAGAGAGGGAGGGAGAGACATCCCCTGGCAAGAGGTTTACCGCTCTTTGAGGTACCAGGCCTCAGAGTTGTTCCCTCTTTTTTCCTCTGTCTCCAGTTGGACAGCCGCAGGCCCCTGGCCCCGGAACATCACACATCCAAACCAGTGCCTAGCACCCTTTCCAGGGGCTCGGCAAGCACAGCCTTACCTTGCACGGCCTTTTCCTGGTCGGTGCGGCTGGCCAGCGGAGCGGGCAAGCTCTGCGCGGCTCCCAACAGCCGCATTTTGCACGGGCTCCTCCGGCCCAGGATGCTGTCGATGCAGTAAGAGGAGAGCAAAGTTGGAGATTTACTTTTGCACTCGGGCCTCTCGGAGCAGCCCTCCTCCTGGTACTGATTGCTCATGGCTGGGTTTTTTCCCCTGGGCGCAGAGAAGCGGGCCGAGGGCTGCCTCTCGGGGCGGGTGGGATGGATGGGTGTGTGTTGAGGGGGTGGAGTTAGATGGCTGGTTATAGTGGATATTATTGCGATCTCTGTGCCTCTCGGCCTCTCTCGGTCGCTGGCTGCCGGCTCCCGCCCTGCCTACGGCCGGAGCTCGCCCTCTCGGCGCTCAGGACAAGCAGTAACAAGTGTAGTGAGCGGCGGGCGCGGAGCGCTGGAGTCTCTCTCCTCCACGTGCTGAGAGGCGCCCTCTGATTGGCTCTCGCCAGAGGCCGGGCTGCTCCGGGCTGTGCGCTCCCGGCAAAGCCCGGACTGGATTCCGGAAAAGCCGGCGGTGGAGGAGGGGCGGCAGCAGGCACGCACCCGAGGCGATTTTATTTTTATTTTTTGTTTTCAACTAGCAACTTTCTAAATACTCCATTCTGTTCCTGCCGCTCCTCCTTTAACCCTTTAGGGCTAGCCCCAAGCTCTAGCTTCTTCGGATGTCAGGCCAGTGGGTGCCATTTGGGCGGCGTGCGCCCCTTCCACCAACCCGAGGACCTCACTCCCTTGGAGGCAAGGCCTTGAGGCTTGGCTCGCGTAAGGACGGATTTGGCCCTTTTCAAAACCAATGTTGCGCTCCCAGGACAGTGCCTTGACTTCAGAGGCCCTCAGCCACCATCCTCTTTAGGCCGGACGCGCCGCCGGAGTGACGGCCGCCGGCAAAGTCTGTCGTTGGGGCGTTCAGTGTTCTCTTGTGGCCCAACGTCTTGAGCTGTTAGTCCTCTCCTTGAGTCCGGCGGTTGCTCTCTTTTTAGTAGGGTCACATCACCGTCTTCAACTCTGCAAAAAGTCCCCTTAAAGACAAAGGTCTGAAAAAAAAAAAGACAAAGGTCTGCCAAAGGCGCGCGGCCTTCTCTAGAGCATCTACAGAACAGAAAGGGACGGGCGAATATGGGCTGCGAGAAAGGGCAGCTGGGGACAGGCCCCGAGAGTCTCCCCCTTCTCCCCAGACACGTTTCCCTCTTCTCCCCATAAGTTCGCCTCTGTTAGGCCGTCACCCTGAAGCTGGACACTCTCAGATCGCGCGTGCAGGGAGCGGGACCTAACCGGAGCCCTGAGAGCTCTAGGGTGGCAGGGAGTCAGGTTCGGCCTCAACCAAATCTCAACGCCTGAAGTTCTGAACTCCACTCCTGGCAAAGGCGAGAGAGCGAACCTCGGGGAGAGAGCACTTGTTTTTCTTCTTCCCCAAACAGCTTCCAGCGCGTCCAGCGCTGAGAACCGAGACCCAACTCCGACTGAAGTTGTGCCGAGCCCGGGCGAGGGGCTAGCACGGGTGCCCTCTTTTTCTGGGTGCAGGGCCCAAGAGATAGCCAGGGGCCTCGACGCTGGCAGGGTGGGGGCGAGGGTGGTGGGTGGGAGAGGAGCCGGGGAGGGGGAATCCACGCCGGGTTTTCCTCTCTCAACCCCTTCAATGTGTCAGAGAAAAGCGTTTTACAAAGGATTATACTTGAATCACTTACAGTCAGTATTTAAAAATACAAGGATGCATAACTGGGATTTTTTTCAGCCATAAACATCTGCATAACTCTTGGATGCTGGTGGGTGGGTGGCAGACAGATCAGGCTGGCTTGGCAGGAGCATTCAAGACACAACTGGAAGGGATGAAGGGTCAGGAACAGGCACATCAATAATGTTAATACTAATGTGATATTACTAGTACTATTAAGAGCTAGACGAAGAGGATCTGTGTCTCTCGGGGTGTGTGTGTGTGTGTGTGTGTGTGTGTGTGTGTGTCTGTCTGTCTGTCTGTCTGTCCATCTGTCTCCGCTCTCTCTGGCTTTTTGAGTCTCACCAGTTTTTCCTACACTTGGATGATGGGAGTTGGGGGCGAAAGAGAACCCGAGCTCTCTCTGACATTGATTTTCTTTTAAGCCCTCTCTGTTGTTCCAAGGCCCCTGGTATCTTCTGTGTTTGCCTGCATTCTCCCTTTTCTAGTCTCACCCACAGCTCTCTGTTATACAGTCCCGTTTAGCTTTAAAGTAACATTCTGCGCACTGATTCCCTCCCCGGCCCTGAGCGCCCACTCCCAGGGTGCGAGTCGCGACGGAGCCGAGACGGGGAAAGACGCGTCGGTCTCCTCGGAGCGAGCCTCCAGCCGCGGGAGCCTCGCTGGCATCCCTGCGGCTGGTCACTGGGAGAGACAGGGGCACTTTTCCCTCCCCAGCGGGCCCCGCGTCGGAAATCTACAAGACCCGGCTGCGGGTGGCTCCGTGACTTAATAGTCACACTCCGTCACACACAAGGAGTGGGTTGAAAATGAGTCCACAAGAAGACCGTGTTAAGAGAGCCACAAACGCACAAATCATTTCTGAGAGCCTAACGGGGTTTCAACTCGGTGGAAGATTTCTTAGCTTCCGTCCCCCTCCTCCCCCTTCTGCAGCTGTTCTCCTTTTTTTTTTTTTTTTTTTAAAGAAGTCGGACTTTCTGCTGGGGTGTATTCTAATTTTAATCATCCACTGCAAAAGGGGAGGTTAACATAGAATTTCTGATTCTGACTTAATGACCCTTGGAATTAAATCTAATTCTATTAATGGAATGTAGCGTCTTTCTTTGGGAAACCTGGTGCAAACACTAGCATTGTTATTTTATCTTGTGTATTTTTGGTATTTTCTAATCAATCTTCCCAAGTGAGGACGCTATTGGGAACGCACATTCATTCACTTCGGGGAGAAGGGCCCGACTCTGCTCCCTTTACACCCAGTGGCCCTGAAATGATCTTTGTCACAATTCAGCACCTAAGTTCAAAATCTGCAGTTGGCTCTTGCTATTCCTGAAATATCATTATTATTATTATTTTTTAAAAAGAGAACTTTTCTAACATACCCACGGGGAGACAATCAGCTGGTATCTCCACAGTGTCTAATCAGAAGATGGGTTTAAGATATCTGTGTGTTATCCTACATGTCAGTTTAGAAAACAAAATGATGCCTCTAATATCTAAGAAGAATTTAGTTAATTTGTTGAGTAAGTAGACTTTTCAGGATTGGGCTATAGGACTATGTATAAAAGAACTTTTAGTATAGCCAATTTCACATTTGCACTGTCGGCAAGATGCCACTTTGCTTTCTTTTCACCTCACTTTCTCCACTTTCTTTTACCCACTAATCAAAAGGAATTTCATTTTAGTAATAATATTATTCACGTTCGTACTTTGTTACTCACCACTCCTGGTTTCTAATCTTTGAGGTCTGTAACTGTTGGTTTTCTTTTCCTGGGCTGCCTGGAAAACAATGGTTTGCAGTTCATCTGCTTTTAAAATCAATCACTAAGATAAAAATGACAATTATGGCCGGAAGTGAGGGTCAGAGGTGTTCAAAACTATTGTTTATGGTGAAAAGAACGAGGCTTGTCCCCAGGATTGGAAATAATAATTACCTAGAAGAGGAGAATGGAAGAAACCCCTTTCTTTTCTGTGGTGAGAGCTAATTCTACATTGTAGTTTCAAAATTATATTTGCAAGAAATGCGGGATAAGGGGGTGGCAGTCAGATGTTATTATTCAGCAAAAAGAAATGTTTGGAGGAGAGTTAACCTTGCACACTTTTCATTTGAGATGTTTTAATTTATTGTGCAATATACACATAGATAAATAAAGCTGTGATGGGCTTCCAGCCACACCGGCCGGCTCAGGTCTCCTTAAATTATGCTCAACCTCTTCAAAACATATATTTAAACAATAGAAATAAACTTCATTGGAGTCTGGCGACCAATTTGGAAGCCATTGGAAGGGAAGACAATAAGTCCTGATTACACGCGAGGATTCTCTGTGATGTGATATCCCCTTTGCCAAGTCATTTTGCTGTTTTATTTATTTAATTTCTTTTTTTTTAAACAAACTTTCATTCATTTATGGTCTTCCGCAACCTGCTAATTTAACACTGGAGCGCGTTATTGCAGTGTTAGGAGGAGAGAAAGAGGGAGAGAAAACAACAATACTGCAATGATCCAAATGATACAGTAGAATTATAGCAATTATAGTTCTACTTGTGGAAGAAAACCTTGCTGAGATCAGGCAAACAAACTGAAGCCTTGTGAGGATAACAAGCGTCGGGATTGACAGCCGGTGCTGGGAAGAGCCGGAGGGCACAAACAGAAATATTTGCCTCCCCCCACCCCCCCCCCCCCTTAACTCCAACCAGTCCAGGTTAACCTCCTCAAATACTGCTCTCACAGTCTTATTCACTTCAGGCTATGCATTTCATGCACAAATCGAGGTCTCTCCTCCTGTAAGTCTGTTAATAGAAGGAAATGTATCATAATCTGCTTGCCCCTCGCCTTCTCTGCCCGCTGCTTGCCCTGCACTCCCTACCCCTGCCTCAGTTCTCCCCACGGCTGCTGGGATCTGTCTGTGGTCGGTGTTTGTTGATGCGTTTACCAAAGGAGCAGCCCGTGGAAAGATCCAAAGGGACTAAGAACGCAGATTTGCCAGGAAGGCTCCTTGGCGTTCGCTGTTCCTCCCGTCTTTGCCGCGTCGTCCGCCGGAGTCGGGGCGGGGGGCGGGGGGCGGCTCCACCGTCAGGGCTCGGCCGGGAGAGGTTTGTTGGGAAGCGACGCTTTGGGAAGGGTCGCGAGGACCGCGGCCGAGCCCTCAAGGTACGGACGCGTGGTGTGATTACTGTGTTAAGACAACTCCTCTGATTGTCAAACTTCACCACTTTCGGTTACCCGCCAGCAGCCAGCGGAAAGGGGCCCGGGGAGCAAGAACTAGAGAGAAAACAGCTCCCCCCGCTGCCCCATCACCTCCAATCATCCGTCCAGGCGGCCCACCGAGTCATTTTCAAGCCTGGCTCCCAGCACAAAGCCAGCCGGACGGTCACAGCCTCACGTCTGCCCTCGGGGGGCTGCGGGGCTGGGGGGACGCGGTCCCCTCCCGCGGGCGAGAAGCAAGTGGGTGGGCTATCACCCCGAGCCCCTCGGTCGGAGCCCCCAATCTCCTGTCTCACCCACCCCCCCACGATTCCAGAGCGGAGAGGGAAACCTCGGCGCCCGGTAATCACCACCACCTGGTTTCCTCTCCATCGCCGGACGGCGGGACCCTGGGTGCGTCCAGGGTCGAGGCGGCCCCCGTGCAGCCGTTACTCTGTAGCTGCTACTCCAGGCGCCCCCGGACGTGGAGGGAGCATGGGTAGGAGCTCGGGTGCGGAGTAACCAGGGACCCGACGCCGGCGTCAGTCTCGAGGCCCCGCAGACCCCGGCTGTCGGCGTTCTCGCAGCCGAGCCCGGCTCGCGCGCTCGGCTCGGCGCCACGGCCAGAGGGCGCCCCCTAGCGGGGGTTCGGGGCGGGCCGGGCCCTCCCGCCGCAGCCTCTGGGGATTGAAGTTGGCAGATCCCCGCGATCCCGCAGGAATGAATGGGGAAGAAAACAAAAGCCTTGGAAACATTTCCAAGTGTGCAATGAAAGACCCATCTGTACCTTTCTTCTCCAGCGCGTTTGTGGTTAATGTCCCCCCATGAGCGCGAGAAGGGAGATAATTGCTGGGTGGATTCTTGCTGGCGAACCTCAGGAAACACTGGCCCGAGAAGTGGAATGATTGGGGGTGGCGTGAAGGCAAGCGTGCAGAGGCTGTAACACCAGCCGGAAAGTTGAATCCGTGTCCGTGCGGTGTTCATGGAGGCCTGGCCGCTTGCGACCTCACCCTCACTCCGCAGTCCTGATTGAGGGGTCATCTGAAGATGGGTACTCTGATATTTCTTTTCTTTGAAATCGGTCTTTGTGGCACCCCTACACTTCTGGCTCTGTGAAATCAGCTCCCCCCCACTTCGTGACTCTATAATACCCCACCTTCGAATTCTAGGGTTCTCCCTTTTTTGACTTGATCCCCCACCTTCCACCTCTGTGATTCCTGACTCTGGCTCTAGTATCCCCCCACCTCTCACTTGATGACTGACTAGTTTGTGGTTCCCCTAATCGGGCCATCGCCCTGCATCTCCCCAGGGAGTCGGAATCTTTGCATCAGAAAATCGTCGAAGCCCAGATCCAGCGCTCTCCACTACTCACAAATCCCCTACCCTTCTTGGTGTGACTAGAAATGGAGAAAAGAGGAAGCAGGGTTCTTGTCCAACTCTCTTTGACTGTTCTACCTGGAAAAGGTGACTTTTCTTGAAGCTCTTAGAACTTCTGGTTAGAAAATTATTGACGAAGCCTTTACAAAGATGAAAAATGCCCAGTTCACATCGACTTGTTATTTCTTTTGCAATGAGTGTGTTAATCCTAACTCATCCATCACAAAAACACAAGTCGTGCTTCTCAAGACCTGCGTGTCTGCAGTCTCAAGTGGTCAGTCCTGCAGGATTTTCAAGTCATACTAAGGCCACCAAAACACATACTAGGTAAGGCCTAGAAAGGAAGAGTCCAAAAATTGGAGTGATGGCTCTTTACAGCCTCTTATTTTGCAGTGTGTCTCGGTAATTGGGAAGTTCAACAGGAGGCTTTCCCTGCCCATAAAAGGCTGGTATTTCAGAATTAGGGGGAGCAGATGGAAGGGGTCCTGTGGGAAGGGAGGCGTGGGTGTCCCTTGTTTAATTAAGAGTTGCATTGTGTTTAAGGGAGGAGGGAAGATGCCGAGGCTGAGCAGCACTCCGTTCTCTTCATCACAAAATAACCTGTGAGGAAGAAAAAAAAAAGCCCACAACTAAGACAGAGCCGGTGGTTCTGGAATAGATACTATTAGAACCGCAGTGCCTCTGGAATAAAGATATCTCATTTCCTGCCGCAGATCACTTACCCGATCAGTAAACACAAATAGCTGAACAGAAAGGGAGAAAATAGAGGAGGAGGACGGGGACGAGGAAGAAAGGCCCCCGGAATAAAAATAACTGCGCAGAAGGGCTTACATTCCCCGCGCTGACAGGCGTCTCCTCCAAATCTGGGGCGGTCCCGTCCTCTCCCCAGAGGCCCCCGCTTCTGCCCCCCGAGTTTCCAGCCCACCCGGGATCGTTTCGAGGACACTCAGCATCTTTGGGGGGAAGGGGGAGGCTCCCGAGCTGAGAGGAGGGCGACGATGGAGGAGAACGGGGACCCTCAGGGCCCAGGGGCCTCTTAGGGAGGCAGAGGTAGGGCCGCGGGCACCGGCCTGGCCCCCGGGCCTACCCCGCGCGGCGGCAGGGCCGTCCGCGGGGCACCGCTAGGCTTCGGCGGCCTCGGTTTCCCCGTCGGGAACGAGGCGCCCCCACCCGGGGCTGGAGGAGCTGCTGGGGGCCCTGCGGGGGCCACCTGGACGCCCCACGTCGCGGCCTCTCCTCCCGGGATCCGGGACCTGGGGGTGCAGAGCCAGAGCCGCGCCCCCGGTGACCCCCAGAGCGCCGAAACTCCGGGAGCAGTGGCCGGACCCGGGCGCCCGCCAGAGGGCGCGGTGGGAGGTGGCCGGCGCGGCGGGGAGCAGAGTCACCTACCCGCCCTGGGGAAGGACCGCCGCCGAGAGGGGAGAGTCGAGGCAGAAAAGCAGGCCGGAGGAGGGCTTGTGCATCCGCTCAGACCCAAGAGCACCGAAAGTCAGCCGAGGCGGTGTTCCTTTGGGGGTTCCGTGAGACGATCCCAGAGAGGTTTCTTTGAGTGGGAAATCGTGGGTTTCTCACACCCGTCTGACACGTGGTGTCGCGTGCCTCTGAACTTCACATCCCTTCCCGTGTTCACACTTCGTGTCCTTAGCACAGTTCCTGGCACCCGGGAGCAGCTTAGGTCATCTTTCCTGAACCCAGGAACTGCTGTGGGAGTGTAGAAGGTATTTTATTGGGGCAGATGGCCTTTGGTTGTTTTATTCTCGTGGGGGCGGGCCCCTTTTTCATCGAGGCCTCATTCTTTTTCCTCAATCCTCACTTGACTACCCTTGGGGCCATGTCGTTGTTTATTACTCTCCCAGCCTAAGGTTTGCAAGGGACTAACAGGAAATTAAAACCAATGTATTTTGCTCAGAGAATCTCAGAACGGTTGGAGAGGAGATTGAAACCCACAGTTCAAGTAAAATTTAGACCTAGGGAAGATTTTTACTTATTTCTTTTCATGGATAATGGAGAGTTGGCATTATCTGTCACTGAATAGTCTCCCTAATAAATAGCTCCAAGTCTCTAATCTAACAGGTGTAACATTTCCCTTTTCTGAGAAACGAAGAGACCACCAACACTATCTTTTAAATAGTACAAATAGAAAATGCAGTTGTTGATAATTTCCACACTAGAGAATCAATCCCAGGCCAGCTCCCTCCTTACTTGCTTTCTGTTACAGGCCTGGCTTTGGGAGTAGGGTGGTATGTACCCCACACTGAGAGTTGTAAACAAAGACTAAGCAAAAATATCCAGAAAGGGCTTTTTACTCTTTGCCAACTGCAAAAGGGGCTGATCCTTAAAGAGAATGCCAGACCTTTCTTTCACCCACTTCCCTTTATCCCCTCCAGAAATATGGCCCACTTAGGTATTAGGCGTCACACAGTGGAGAGAAAAAAGGGAGAGGAGAAAGTTGTTCAAAGACGCTCATGTCTCTGTGAGGTGTTGTTTTGGGTACCTGTTGAGTTGTTGTTTTTCTCCCCAGATGGGCCTTGATTTTGGAGGATTCATCAGCATTTGTTTGTCTACAGGCAACTTTCCCACAACTTTCAGCACCTTTCAAAGCATCCCATCTTCAGGGTTGGCTCCCCCTGCAAAGAACGCAGAAAGATCTCACCTGGAAATGTTTCCTCAAAGACAGGAAGGGAAACTGGCCCAGGAAATTCCACCCATCTTCATCATGGACCAACCTTTGCCTCGTTCTCCTCGCCCTCCTCCTCTCTTCTCCAGCTTTTGGGGTTAAAGCATTTTGATGTTATTTATATAAATGAAACAGCATCAGAGTAACCTTTTTATTGCATTCATTAAAGGGAGATTGAACTATAACTTTGAAAATTGTGACATTCCGATGAGAGCTATATTAAACTGCTTAACAACATTTTGAAGGCATCATTGGTAGTGTCTGTAGTGTAAGTGAAACAAAGGTTTTCACAGCACATCGGGTTTAATACTAAAAAGCTCAAATTTAAGACTTTAGCTATTAAATAGAAGAGAGGAGAAAGGGAGATGGTGAAGTAGTACATGGAGGAGAGAAGACAGTCCTGAGAAGAACAGCCGACGCGTAGTGAGTGCTCACCATGTGCCAGACAGTGTTCTAAGAACTTTTCACACACTTTTTACACGTTAGAATTGATTAATCCTAACGACAGCCCCTGGAGGGTGTTTCTGTTGTAATCTCTCTCTGTTACAGATGAGGAAATTGAGGTACAGAAAAAGTGACCAGCTGGTCCTTGCTTTCCCACTGAAAGGCCTGCAGATTCTTCATTCCTGGGCAAAGTAGGATGGTTGGTTGCCCCAGGCACTAGAGGAAGGAGTCTGTCCAAGGTCATGGAACTGGAGCCAGGATGTGAATCCGAGCAGTCAGACTCCATTCAGCAGCCCTTACCTCTGTGAGTCCTGCCCATTTTACAGATGAGTAACTTGAGGATCAGAGAGGAGTGAACTGAGCTGTCCACAGTCAAACAGCTTGCGGGGGGTAGGCAGGAGATGATACATGGGGACTTGTGAATCACATCTGTTCTCTACTCTTCACTACCTTCTATAAAAAGAGTTTTTGTAGAAAAGCAGGTAGCTTTGAAAAATATTAAAGATAGAAATGAGACCAAAAAAAGAGAGTATCCAAGGAAAAGATGTACATCAGATTCAGACACCTAGATCATCACTCCCTGGCAGTATTAGAACACGTAAGAAAAGGAGGTCACTGATATTGTAAACACAATTTATAATGAAGGACAATTTAAAAATTGCAATAAACACACAAAGAAAATAATTACATGGAACACGGGGCCATCAGGCAGGGAACATTTGAACTCTCTAAAGCATTTGGTGTATGGTTCCCATCCCATAATTGTTCAATCATGATGATGAAGGTTCCACCTCACACCAGTGTCAACTGGCACTCCACCACCCCCATCCTCCCACCCCCCGCCAGCTTTCAGTGTTTCCAAACAGCTTTGAGTGGGCCCTTTGGACAAAACTTTGAGAACCAATTAGACTCTGTGCCTGTAGTTTGTAAGCAGCTTGCGGAGCTGGGCATTGGCCAGGAAAGAATGCTGGCTCTCTCAGAACACAACACATTGTAAAAATGCAGCTTGACATCAATAAAAATAATCACTATTTGATGTATTTGTTATAATTATAGGTCATTGCTCGGCGAGCCTTTGCAGTTAGCAAAGTTGTGATTTGGCCTCTGCCCCACTGGTGGGGGAGACAGCGAGGCCTCGGCACCTCTCAGAGTCCTGGCGGGCGTCCTGAATGCCATAAGCTTATGCACAACTT